ACTTGCAAAGCATACACAGTGAGTCTCCCATGAGGTCCTTGAAGATGCAAATGCTCCAGTGCATGGCTCACAGGCGAATGGTACCTAGACTGAGGCCTCTACTGCTGCAGCATGGCATCTCTTTCGATGTTAGATTCGGAGGCTGCCTTGAGGGCCCGTTCAAGGGACCATGGCATTCCCGACGAGGTGGTCGATGCCATGGTAGGTCGGAACATCACGTCTTTGAACCGAGTAGCATTTGCCTTGACCCAGCCCGGCACAAGTCCCGATGAATCGGATCTGCGTGCATTTGTAACGTTGCCTGATGGTGATCCCAATTTAGTTAGTCAAGGCCTGTTGGCTGCGGCTAGGCGGTTGGTTTTTGAGGCCCAAACGTTACATGTGGCGCAACTCAAGCAGCAAGTCGAAGGTTCAGATGCCAAGCCCAAAGAATTGCCTGCTGAAGAGAGGCGCTATCGTCTGTCAGCACAGGAGCGTCGTTTGAGCGGCATGGTCTTGCACGGGCCTCTTGAGGTTGCTTTCTCTGCATATGACATTGTAGTCAAGATGCTGGCCGACGACCACATAACTTATCTTGCTCCTCATCGCTTTTCCACCCGCATGTTGGAAGTGCAGCAGGATCGGCCCTCAAAATCCATTGTCATTGATGCGACACAACACTTGCAGGTGAAAGACACGGCCTCGCAAAAGCCTCAGGTGGATCTGCCCGACGCATTGTCGCTGACACAAGCAATGACGCGCCGCAGTCTAGCTCTAGACCTGGTCGGTGCTGCGACATTCTCCCGCGCTGAGGCCTGGAATCGTGTGCTGGTTCAACACTTACAACAACCGCCGCCACCCGGCTTTAAGTTCATGGATACTGCGCAGCTTCTCCGTGCCGACCGCGCGGGTTGGTTGCACATGGCCCAGGTCCTCACCACTCTGCGGCGCGGGAGTGATGGAACATTGCCGATGGATGCCGCTTTTGATTCCTTGCCCACTGTGCCAGCCATCATGTTTCATCTTGCTCCACAGCAGGGTGGGCGGGCCACCGCTGAAGCCAGCCAACCACATGCCTCAGCGTCTACGGCTGCAGGCGAGGGCAAACTGACAAAATCGGCCAAGCGGTGCGCTTCGCTGAAGCGGAAACTGTCTGGCAATACGACTGTCGCCACGCCGCCACCTCCACCACATGCGACTCCACGGCCCGCCAAGCAGCAAACAGGCAAAGGCGGCGCTAAGCGCACTTTCCCAGAGGCCCTCAAAGGCATGGCGAGCCGTACCCCACAAGGGCGTCGCATCTGCTGGGATTATAACTTGCCTGGTGGCTGCACGAATGCTGCCGGCTCTTGCCCGAATGGTGATCATGTCTGCATGCGTAAAGGCTGCTTCCA